GGAATGCGGCTATGGGGGGGGCCCCGGCACTGAGAATGCGGCTATGGGGGGGTCCCACCCCCGGGCGCGCAAGGGGGGCCCTGCCCCCGGGCGCGCAAGGGGGGCCCTGCCCCCGGGCGCCCAGCAACCCCAAATGGTTGGGGACCACTGGTCTAGAGAACATGACCTATGAAGGAAGGCTGAAATAATTGGGTTTGTTTAGTTTAGAAAAGAGAAGACTGAGGGGGGACATGATAGCCGTTTTCAAGTATCAAGTATCATGAGGAGGGAGAAAACTTGTTCGTCTGGGCCTCTGAGGATAGAACAATGGGCTTAAACTGCAGCAAGGGAAGTTTAGGTTGGACATTAGGAAAAAGTTCCTAACTGTCAGGGTAGTTAAACACTGGAATAAATTGCCCAGGGAGGTTGTGGAATCCCCATCTCTGGAGATATTGAAGAGTAGGTTAGATAAATGTCTATCAGGGATGGTCTAGACAGTATTTGGTCCTGCCATGGGGGCAGGGGACTGGACTCAATGACCTCTCGAGGTCCCTTCCAGTCCTAGTATTCTATGATTCTATGATAAGACCCTGGACAGATTCAAGCAATAAGGAGTAGTCAGGTATCTGTTCCAAAGAGTCCCTGGATTTATTTTCTATGAAGACCCCTTGACATCCTTTTAAACGAGGATGGCTGGGATAGTCCCCGGTAGTGGAATTCCACTGGAGAATCTATACCAAGGATGTGAGAGATGGTTTACTATGGGTCATATCTAGACACAAAACCTCTTCTTAGATCCAGGAGTGGATCCATATTCTATTCTGATTGGGCACACCTTGATTGTCCAAAAGATTGATAAACAGGACTCTATCAGACAGGTATCTTCACTGAATTTTCCTGTTCCAGGGTCTCCTTCTGTGGATTTTGATATCGGATGCAGTCCTCACATAACCCCTGATTTGGATCCTGGCTAATTCACTTTTGGGTGTTTTAGTTTTCAACACTGTTCCAATCAGTCTGTGTATTTGTTTTTATTAATATTTTGCACATACCTACAGAGGGACATATTTTAAATTAAAAATCCAAGAGAAATCTGTCATCTTATGTGCTTGTCACCACAGCTGAGAGTAGCTATTACTTATGGTTATTATATGTGAACATCTGTGCATAAGCCATTCACAGAACACAGTCGTTGGCTCAGGAACATATATATGGCTACGTCTACACTGGCCCCTTCTCCGGAAGAGGCATGCAAAGCAGGCAAGTCAGAATAGGGAAATCACCTACTTGGCAAGTAGGAATAAGAGATCCTCTGGAAAAGGGCTTTATTCCGGAGGATCGCGCCAGTCTAGACGCTCTTTTCCGATTTCCCTATTCTGACTTGCCTGCTTTGCATGCCTCTTCCGGAGAAGGGGCCAGTCTAGATGTAGCCATAGTTTCTGTTGATAAAATAGAATGAATATGGGTATGTTTAGACTGTGGAGTTCTTCCGGGATACCTCTGGTATCCCAGAGAAACTCTGCCACATCCAGGAAATGCGTTTGCTCTTCCACTTTTTTTTTTGCAGAAGAGCAAACACTGTCTTTCAGGGAACCCTGTATATCTCGTTCTACGAGGAATAAGGGCTCCTCTGAAATAGGAGGCTTTTTCACCATTTGGCTCCATCTAGGCAGACTTCATCTGTCTTCGCAGGAAAGAGTTTGCCCTTATCGAATTCTAAATCCTCAACTTTTGCTTGGGGATGCCAGCCACTTGCAGCCATGATGCATGCTCATTACTATGGATATTGTAGTCACCTTTGCCTTGGTGTCGAAAGAATCGAGTGCCATTTGCAGTGCTGCGTGGGATGTAGTGTATCCCTCTTGAACAACAGATTTTTAATATAGGTCTTTTATCATCAGGAAGATGATGCATCAGCTCTGTTAATTTTGCATAACTGTCAAAATCGTGATTGACTAAACGTGCTGTATAATTTGCTATATGAAGCTGAAGCATCAAGGAGGAATATATTTTTCTCCCAAATAAGTCCAGGTGATTATGGTCCTTGTCCCAAATATTGGATTTATATTGAGGGGTCTTAGATCTCTGGTTTGCAGCATCAACCACTAAGCAGCTGGGCTGAGGGTGCAGAAATAAGAAGTCCATGACCCTCTTATTAGTTGGGGGAACTATGGCTGGTGTTTGCCATACCTTGTCTGCTGCTTCCATGATTGCTTCTGCAGGACATTTCAAAGGATAAGAAGCATGCTGGCACTGAAGAAAAATTAGTAGTTGGGACAGTTTTCCAGACACTAATTCTGATTTTTGGAAATATAGCTGTAAAATAGAAATACCCTGTCAAGACAATGCAGAAAATATTTGCAAACAAGTAAAATAAAAAAATAGTACCTCAACAAATATTGTAAAAGTCTACATTACATTTCCTATAAAAATTTCCCTCCAGAGTTTAATTCATATTAATTCCAGATAACAAATTAAGTTAGGATAATGCGCAATAGTTTGCATTAATTTAGTCATGCGTGAATCTCAGTGGTGGCATGATCAGGCCTTTGTGCTCACATTACTGTTCATTCATGCCCACATTAAATAATAATCTATTTTATTTTGTACAAGTGAGCAGTAATTTTACTGTCCAAAGAGCAATTAATTTATGTATAATTACAAATCTATTCACATGGGTATAATATTTTGCTGTAATCTGAATATATACAAACATACAGCAAATGTTTTCTCTGCAAATGCCTGTGTTATGCAATAATTTGTATCATAGTTTTTAAATAGCACTTTTTATACAAGGATCTCAGTGCTTATCAAATGAGGATAAAGCCATATCTATACCAGGAGCATTTTGCTATTAAAGAAATGCCAAAACACTATAGCGACAAAGTACTCCAAATATGGATACAACTTATATCAGCAAAGCTATGTTTTTGCTGGTATAACTTATTCCAGCCCCTCCCCCCCAAGCGAAGACTGGCAATAGTGCAATTTTGCTTGTTTAACTTAGAGCATCTCCAGTAATAACTTTTGCAAGGACAAGTATGTTGGTCAAGTATCATAACTCTCAGAAGCAACTGGTCAGAGGGGGAAGCCAAGGGGCCACCAGCCACTTGACTCCCCTCCCATCCCAGGGAAGGGCCAGGACCCCCCCTTCCCAGGCCCCATATCTCCCCACCCCGCTCTGCTCCCTCTCACCCTTGCTCTGCCCCCACCCTGCCCTTGCTCCATTACCTCTTACCTCACCCCAGGCGGGCCCAGGGACTAGCGAGCTGGCACCTTTAACAGGAGTTCACTGCTCTCCCCCTCTTCCACCAATATTCACCACCCGCTTCCTGCCAGGGAGTATGGGGGCAATCTGCCCCCTCCCCTGGAGTGGCACTTGGAAGAGCAAAGCAGCTGGGGCTACCTTGCTCTGCTTCCAGGCCCTCCACTAGACCTCTCACCAACTGCTGGATGGCCCCTTCCGCCCATGGTGTTTGGGAACATGTGCCCCTAGTACCTTCCATGAGTTACCCCTGACAACTTTTCACACCCCTGACCAACATAATTGTGCTGCCAGAAGGCAGTAGTGTAAACATAATCTAAGTATCACTATCACTATTTTACTGATGGCAAAACTGAGAAACAGAGCGATTAAGTGACATGCTCCAGTTACACAGCAGTTCAATGACAATTAGAATAACACCCACGTCTCTTGATACCAAGTGCAGTGCCATGATTGCCAGATGATGCTACTGGACCTTTGCCAATGACAATTTTTTAGAAATGAATGATTAATAAAATCATTAGTATTTTACTTTCTATAAATGTATGTATTCTTCAGGTTTACACAGGGAAAAATAACTTAAAAGATGCATATATTTTCCTTTCCAGCTTGAGTTGAATCTGCAATCAGAGACTTAGCTTGCTCAAAAAAAGCTGGGGATATAAACTCTTCTGATGATCAAATAGATATATTATTTTAGTCTTAGGTTGTGTCTACATTTGGTGCGCTCTCTGCCAAAAATAGCCCACCATTTCTACTATTGGTCAGTGGCAGCATTAATGTAGGAAGGTCTAAGGAAGCCACTGGAATTTTAGCCATAATGTGCTCTAACCATGTTTTAAGCAGTCTAGATTACCTGGGGATGAAAACGTCAACAGCTACCAGCACCTTATTTACACTTGGGTTCCCTTTGTTGTTGCCACCAGTGAAGTTGAATCAACAATAGCAATGGTACGAGTCTCAAGGTTTGGTATCTTTACCTTCTTACTATATAGTTTAGAAATGTGTGTCTGTCTGTGAGTGTTTTTTCAAGAACTCCTCCTAAACGGGAAGAGCTAGGACCACCAAATTTGATATATAGCTTCCTTTTATCTTAACTTAAAGCAAGGTCAGGGTTTGGTTGTGCCAGGATAATAGGATGTGCATAGAATTAAATTGTTTCTCCTCATAAAAGAGAGGAGTCTGGCAGGAGGGACAGTTACACAGGCAGTCCCCGAGTTACGCGGATCCGACTTACGTTGGATCCGCAGTTACGAACGGGGTTTGCTCCACGTCTCCCTGGTCTGCTGGTCTCTAGCAGACCAGGGAGACGGGGAGCAAAGCCTCTGAGGATGCCGGCAGCGGGACAGCCGCGGCGCGTCTGGGCTGTCCGCTGCCCGCGTGCTCCAGGGAGACGGGGAGCAAAGCCTCTGAGGATGCCGGCAGCGGGACAGCCGCGGCGCGTCTGGGCTGTCCGCTGCCCGCGTGCTCCAGGGAGACGGGGAGCAAAGCCTCTGAGGATGCCGGCAGCGGGACAGCCGCGGCGCGTCTGGGCTGTCCGCTGCCCGCGTGCTCCAGGGAGACGGGGAGCAAAGCCTCTGAGGATGCCGGCAGCGGGACAGCCGCGGCGCGTCTGGGCTGTCCGCTGCCCGCGTGCTCCAGGGAGACGGGGAGCAAAGCCTCTGAGGATGCCGGCAGCGGGACAGCCGCGGCGCGTCTGGGCTGTCCGCTGCCCGCGTGCTCCAGGGAGACGGGGAGCAAAGCCTCTGAGGATGCCGGCAGCGGGACAGCCGCGGCGCGTCTGGGCTGTCCGCTGCCCGCGTGCTCCAGGGAGACGGGGAGCAAAGCCTCTGAGGATGCCGGCAGCGGGACAGCCGCGGCGCGTCTGGGCTGTCCGCTGTCCGCATGCTCTGCGGCTTTCCTCCCCCGTCTCCCTGGTCTGCTGGTCTCCAGCTAGTACGCCCCCTCCCCCCCAGCAGACCAGGCTTTTCTCCGGACGCCTGTGGTAGAGCAGCTGGGGCGCTGCTGGGTTGGTCCAGTAGCGCCGAGGAGCGGCGCTACTGGAGCAACCCAGCAGCACCCCAGCTGCTCTGCCCCAGGCGTCCCCAAGTCACCTGCTGCTGAGACTGATCAGTGGCTGATTCCAGGAACCCCGGGGCAGAGCAACTCGGCCTCGGGCTTCCTGTAGTCAGCGCTGGTCAGTTTCAGCAGCGGCTGAATCTGGACGCCAGTTCCGACTTACATACAGATTCAACTTAAGAACAAACCTACAGTCTCTATCTTGTACGTCACCTGGGGACTGCCTGTACTGTAGAATGTCCACAGGGGAGCAGTAAGGGGACCAGAACAGCTATAACCTCATTGGTGGAGAAAGGGACAGCTATCTACTATATATTTCAGAGAGTTTGTCTGTTTGTCTGTCTGTCCCCAGCCTTGGCTTCTCACCTGGCCTCAAGCTGCTGTAATTAGAGAAAATATGGGTTGTCCTCTCTCCCCAGAGCACCCTGCATAATGAACCGCCCATCCCCAGCCACACTCCAGAACAATGATTTAAATGAGAAAAAACAAAACTTATCTGAGTTAAGGACACAAGCAACACTGGATAAATCTAGTATTAAATATGTGTTTTTATCCACAATCAGTTTGCCTTTGTCCAAATATTGATATTATACTATTTTACCCACAGAGGCCTTTTCCTGAGCTTCTGCTGTTCTCATTGGCATTGTTGGACATGTGGATGTTGAGTAGTCCTCAAGGTCAGATCAAGATTAGTTTATTAAGCAGATGTGAGTTCTTGATCCCTGCTATCTCATATATTTTATGATTTTCAGATGAAAGGGAATAAGCTATACCAGATGTGGGCAAACTTTTTGGCCCAAGAGTCACATCTGGATAGGGAAATTGTACAATGGGCCACGAATGTAGGGGTTGGGGTAGGGGGTTGGAGTGGGAGGTAAGGAAGGGGCTGCAGGAGAAGAGTCTGAGAGTAGAGGTGGGGGTAAGATGCAGGAAGGGGACCAGGGCAGGGTTTTGGGGCATGGGAGGGAGCTCAGGCAGGGGTTTGGGTGCAGGAGGATGCAGCAGGGGATTCAGGGCTGGGACTGGAGCGCATGAGGTATTCAGGGTGCAGGCTCTGGCTAGGTGCTTGTTATCTCAGGCAGCTCCCAGTCAATGGTGCAGCAGGGCTAATGCAGGGTCTCTCCTCTCTTTGCCCTGTACTGTCCCCAGAAGTGGCCAGCACGTCCAGCAGCAGCTCCTGGAAGGTCAGAGGTGGCTCCATGTACTGCCCTCACCTGCAGGCACCATCCCCACAGCTTACATTGGCCATAATTTCCCATTTCTGGATAATGGGAGCTGCAGGGACAGTACTTGCCAGTTAGGGCTGCACACTGAACCCTTTGCCCTTCCATTCTTAGGGGCTGCAGGGACATGCTTCTGAGAGCAATCTGGGGCCAGAGCAGGCAGGGAGCCTGCCTTAGCTCCACTGCACCACCAGACTGGGAATCCTAAGGGCTGGATTAAAACCCCGATGGATCAGAAGTGGCCTGCAGGCTGTAGTAGCCTACCACTTAGCTACACGATTATACATGCTTCTAGACTGGTACAACTGCATCAACGACAAGAGATTGTATTGCTTGAACTACACTAGAACTTCAGATTTATGTTGCGTGGTTCGATTTATTTTAGATCCAAGGGAAACTCGTACATGCCAGGGCTACTTAATCACTTTCTGATTTATTGCAAGCTTTAAGCGGTTATAACAGTTGTTTATGTTTTACAAGCCTTAAGAACAATTACTATACAATTTAAACCTTAAATAATATAACTTCTAAAGCAATTAATACAGCTCAAAGCAATGCAAAAGCAATTACTAAAAAATCTACTAAATACAATAATAAAGCCTAATTCACTTACATTTCACCCGTATGCTACCTACAGTGCCAGGCAAGAGATCGTGGTTCCATCTTTTTCCACACATAGGAACACCATAAGTGACATAGCCGGTGTGAAGGGCCTAATCACTTCTAGTTACATCAAGCAGGATGTGTGGGTCAATCCTGCTCATTCCCTCCCA